GCACTCAGGTTTTTTGGGTGTGGTGCTTTTTAAGCTTAAAAGTTCTTGTAACATTGCAAGTCACAGGCCTCAGTATAAATGGTATGTGTTGGGTTGGAAGGAGCTGGCCACAGTAGTAAAAATGAACTAAAAGAAGATGGCATTAAGTACCACCAGATGTGACCAGGATGGCCTGTGAGCATTGCTAAGGTGGCTCTGGTGGCTCCCAGCACCAGAGACATCAAGCAGTGTTACAGACTGTGCCTTTGTGACTCGGGAGTGCTCTCCAGGGCAAAACATAAAAAGCAGCAGTAAAGCACACAAGTAAAGATTTTCCTTAAGTTGTATCTTTCATCTAAATGTTGACTTCATGTGATAGCTTTCCCAGCCAACTCGACAAAGAAATATTCTCCATCAGATAGTATCTCTTGACATCTCTTCTTGAGCACAGTCACCACTAGGACCTTATTGTTTTCACAAATCAGGAACCAAGTGTGTTGGCTAGAAGAAAAGTATCAAATATTGCTGGAGCACAGAGTATGGAAGACTATGGCCAGAAAGGAAGATCATTAGAGTTCATAACAATTATTTGCCAAGTTTGACACATTTGCTTCTGTACAGAGTCATGAAGCGCTCAAAAGAATTTTAGGCAGCAGAGTGCCATTAATTGATTTTCACTTAGAAAGCTGACTTTAGTGTTTGTTTAATGAGAGCAAAAGTTTATTTTGAAAATACATAGGAGATGCTAAAGGCCTGAATCAAGGTGCTCATATTCAGCATTCAACCTTTTTAAAATTTTTGATATATTTGACAAATCAAATTTCATGTTTCAAGTAAGAAATAGTAGTGTAAAGAGAGGGCCCTTTAATGTGATTTTGTGGTAAAGCACCTGCCTTGCAGGTGTTGGTACCCACCACCATGGCCCCATATTGCTGGATGGTGTCCTGAGGACACGACATTGGGATCCCCAGTGCCTTCCGAAAGTATAGGATGGAGAGATGACACATACTCTGCACAAGGCTGGTCCCAGAAACCTCAGCATTACCCAGTGTGGCCCTGGATGACCTCAAGCACTGCCAGGCAGCCCAGAAGATTTCTGGCACCACAGGGACCAAGCAGCACTCACCCTCAGGCCTCTACATTGAACTATGGTCTGGTTGACCAAAAAGCATCCAAAGAAGTCCCTGGACCTTTTGAGTACTACATGTGAGCCCCCCCCCCACCTCACCCCACCCCACACCCCTGATCACAAATAAAAGTATGCCGTTCCTAGCCTACCCCAACCAAAGTGTGCAATTCCCCACACCCAAAAATGCAATTCCTAGTAGCCACCACACTCCAGCTAAGAATGTGATCCCTGGGCATGGCAACATAGTGAAGGGACGGGGAGAATAATAATGATCATAGAACAGAAGAGAAGGATTTAAGAAATATATAGGTGCTAGAATGGAGAATAGTGTCCAGGAAGGGTTTTGTTTTTGTTTGATTTGTTTGTTGTTTGGGGGCTATACCCAGCAGTGCTCAGGGGTTACTCCGGGCTCTGCACTCAGGAATTACTCCTGATTAGGGGACCATATGAGATGCCAGGGGATCAAATCTTGGTCAACTGCATGCAAGGCAAGTCCCCTACCTGCTGTAATATCTCTCCAGCCCCCCAGGAAGGTTTTAGAAATATTTCCACAATTGAGACATGGCATCAAGTGGGGTGGTCATACCAGTTATCGAAATAAAAGATTGTAACGTGAACTGCGCTGGAGTTTTCCTAACTTTCTTGTTCCCAGTTATCCTCTCACACTTTCTGGCAAGTTGATCCTTGATCCTTTGTTCCGTTCTGTCCATGAGAATTCTTATCAATTTTTTTAAAAGTAATTTCAATTTTGTTTAATATAAAATATTTCCCAGAAGTTTAGACTTTGCAGAGATAATTTGGTTATAGGAGTACTCAGATATATGTGTGGGGGTGTATATATATGTATATATATACATATACATATGCTGGAGCAATAGCACCAGTGGGTAGGGTGTTTGCTTTGCATGCAGCCGACCTGGGTTCAATTCCTCCGCCCCTCTCGGAGAGCCCAGCCAGCTACCGAGAGTATCTCGCCCGCAAGGCAAAGCCTGGCAAGCTACCCCTGACGTATTCGACATGCCAAAAACAGTAACAAGAAGTCTCATAATTTGTTGTGAGATGTTACTGGTGCCCGCTCAAGCAAATCGATGAACAACGGGAGGACAGTGCTACAGTGTAGTGATATATATCAATCACTGTCCTCCCGTTGTTTATCGTTTTGCTCGAGCGGGCCCAGTAACATCTCCATTGGAGACTTTGTTGTTACTGTGTTTGGCATATCGAATACGTCACGGGGAGCTTGCCAGGCTTTGCTGTGCGGGCAATATACTCTCGGTAGCTTGCCAGGCTCTCCAGGAGGGGCAAAGGAATCGAACTCGGGTCGGCCATGTTCGCTGCATGCAAGGCAAATGCCCTACCACTGTGCTATCGTTCCAGCCTATATATATATAATTTCCCATATATATATATTTCCCTCTATGATTCATTGCCTACTGTCTGAACCCCATCAAATATCGTAATTATGTAAAATGGGTAGGGTGTGTCTTATGATGTGTCATGGCCACGCAGTCCAGGACTATGTTCACTTATATGTGAGCTTCTGCCTGAGCGTGTGGAGAGTGACTGCCAGGGACCGGGTCCCTTGGGGCGGGGAGGGCTCTCACCTGCCCCCCCCCCCAGGCGCTCCTAGTGAAAACAACCTTGCACGGAGTCCAGTGGCATGGTTATGGGGGCCTCATCTTATGCTCCCTTCTGAGAGAAGCAGCCGTGACTTCTGGAGGGAGGCCAATGAGATTATCTGGCGCCAGCAGGTAATCTTTACCTTTAGATCAAAAAAAAAAAATTAAGGTAAAAAAAATGTGTTCCTTTTGAACAGTTCTCAAAAGATGTTCTAATAAATATAACTTCAAGCAGTATTATGTAAAACAAATGGGTGATAAGGTTTAATTTAGTACTTTTCTTTTCCTTTAGCACATTTTAGTACTCCTCTGAAGTACTAAATTTAGTACTAAATGAAGTACTGAACATGCTGCTTCTTTAGCATATTTTAGCACTATTCTGAAGAAATCTTCCTAACTTTATGTAACACACTGGTTCTCAATAGCTCTTTATTATATGTGGAATCTACTTTTTAAAGGATATACTTTCTAAAGGATGTCCTTGAAATATGGGGTGCAAATTTTTTTACACTCCTGTAGTTCTGTTATAAATTGCACATTTCTCCTTGTGTTTCTCCTTAGTGTTAAAAATTTTATTCCTTTTAGTTTTTCTGAGTTATTGTTAGAATCCAGTCATCCAAAAATTTGTGCTGATGTTCAGGGTTACATGATACAATCATATTGATTATATTGTATATTATTTTGTTTATGCCAATAAGTAAACTCATATCTCCCATTGATATATTTCCTTAGTCTAGAATTCTAGATTAATCTTCTGACTCAATAACAGGAAAAAGCAATCTTATTTTTTTGGCCTCTACACCAGGAATATAAGTTTCCTCCCATCAACGTGGCCATTTTCCTCTACTCTTTAAAACATTTTTATTGGTTTTCAAGCTAGAAATATGCTTAAATTAATGCATTTAGTCACTCATTCATCAAAAAACTCATATATATATAAATATACTCTGCTAAGAAGAACTCTTTGAATGTGCAGTGCTGAAAACAAATTTATAAATTGCAACTTGCAGTTTTAGTGATGAGTTATCTAAAACCCAAAGCCAAATTGAAGTATTCTATTAAGATTGTTTGTTTATAATCTTTAGCTAAAGTTCAAAAATTGACATCAATTGATCAAAAGTAATAAATATCGTGTTTACCATAATTTATCTTGATTATAGATGTATGAATATTACCTTTTCATAATAAGAAGTGATGATGAAATTAAAGTAATTTCAATTTTGTTTAATATAAAATATTTCCCAGAAGTTTAGACTTCGCAGAGATAATTTGGTTGTAGGAGTACTCAGATAAATATCTCTGTGTATGTCTTACAGTTCACTTACTAGAAATGAAGTGGTTTCAGAAGTTGTAAACTCCTAGAACGCCAGGAAGGTGACTAGAGGGCTGGCTCCCCAATATTTAACCCATCATTTAATCAAGAAGAGTTCTAAGCCAACAAAACCTTCAGAAAATAATAATGGAACTGTGGCATTTTTTTTCATCTTTTGCTACATAGTGTTACATGTGTTTTTGTATATGATAGTAATCACATGTACATCATCCCAGCACTATAGATGAAGTTACTCAGAAACATGTCTAATTTACTGAAAGTTAGTGTTGGTGCTTGGATTTATTATATCTCCACCCAATGCCCTGCAGCTTTTAGTGAGGAGCAAGCTGTAGGAACCATCACAGAAGAGTGTTATAGAGTATGTTAGTTTAAATTCTGCTCAGAATTCTTTGTGATACAGTTCTTATAATTCTCATATTTCTCAGATCCAGCCAAGAGGTTAAAAGCTTCACTCTCAAAAAAAAAAATACAAGAAGGAGTTTAGAGAACAATTTATGGAGTGCTGTAATGAAATTATTCTGTTTTTCTCTTTTGTTACTACTATGATCACTCAACATACGGAGCAGTGTTATTTTACAATAAAAAAAATTCAAGAAGGAGTTTAGAGAACAACTTATGGAGTGCTGTAATGAAATTATTCTGTTTTTCTCTTTTGTTACTACTATGATCACTCAACATACGGAGCAGTGTTATTTTACATTTCTTTCACTTTAATAATTTCTGGGTCTCTTTTCCACAATTTAAACAGTTTTTTTTTTGATGAACATATTTAAAGCTGAAAGCTTTTTTTTCTCCTCTGAAGAAAAGAATTATGATTAAATGTAATGATTCATACAGGACACTTAGAAAATCACTCAGCTTAGCAATGACTTGGACTTTTATAATGCATTTCCTTTGTGTTTAAAATTAAAAGTTTATAATTGTGCTATATTTATTTTAGGATGTAATTAAAACCATTGTACAAAGTGGTGGTATTAAGCATCTGGTTACCATGGCAACTAGCGAACATGTAATAATGCAGAATGAAGCTCTTGTTGCTTTGGCATTAGTAGCAGCTTTAGAATTGGGTAAGTACCCCAGTGACAAGATTATTTTCTTTTTTTATCTGGATGAAAACAAGCAGCACAAGTAGAATAGAAGTCACATAGAATCTTGATTGGGAGCATTTTCCAGTATGTGTCTACATGTAAAAAATACATGTATATTCTTATATATAAATTATAAGATATATATACCCCCCATATATGTATAAGTACATATGTACATATATACTCTTTTGAGAATATGTGAAAAATCAGTCTATAGATTGTCACCATCACTGTCCTTTTGTTTGTTTTGTTTTTTAGTCTACACTTGACTATGCTTAGGGATTACTCCTGACTGTGCTCAGGATTACTCCTGGTAGACCCTGGGGGATAATATGGGATCCCATATTAGCAGTCTCAGCAAGGCCAACCCCCTACCCACTTTACTCTTGCTGCCACCCCCATTTCTGTCCATTTTGATTGTGCTTTCAGTAACATTTTTAGGGCAGTGCTTTGAGCTTGGCTTAACTCTTAAATGCTATCTAAAGGTATAGCCACTTTGGGAATACAAAAACGTTTCAGCGGGCCTTATGGAGAAATGAAACACTTTGGTAAACAATAGAAGAAAGTCCAAATCTCCGCAGTTTCACTTGTTTTCATTTGTGTCTGTTTTAAGTTCTATGTAGTAGTATCACCTGTGTAAGTGTGTGTAATTCATTATTATACTGTAATTCATTATTGTACTGAACATGTTCTGCTCCATAAGGAGCCAGTTTTTTTTTTAATTTTATTTTTATAAAGTTGTTCACAGTAATTCATTACATTTAATATTTGGATACCAATCCCATCCCATTACACCTTCCCATACTTCGAAAGTTTCTACCCCCAAATCACAGACCGTGTCCCTCAAAGCAGAACCAAAACAATTAATTTTGTATTGCTTGTTAGGACTAATCCACTAAAAATGGTCCAATAAATTTTCTTAGAGGAAAGTGTATGAAGATTGTTGTATTTCATCCTGCAACCATTAATCCCTTGTATGTGCTACTCTTGCACATTAGTGATGTCGATTATGAGAGCTTGCACAACCATGAATGTGGTCATGTGCTCCAGAAATTCTAAAATTTAGAATGATTATACAGCAGATTCACTCATGGGTGAGGCTCATCCGAGCCAATGGAGAGCAACTGTGAGCATGGTGGCAACTGAGTTCTGGAGGTTTTCAGCTGCTAGGGCTTTGTTGGGGTGAAGAGGGAAATTCACCCACTCCCCTCCAAGTTGCCCCAGTGAAGACAGCCTGGCACGGGGTTTGGACGTAGTATGTTGTTCTCTTCCGGGAGCTTTATTTCTGAGTCCCTGGATCATGGCCATTGATGAGATCATATGGCGCCAGAAGCAGTTTGTGGGGGTGACCGCCAAGCTACTGGTAAATTAGGGAGATGGCAGGAGGAAGCCCATTTTCAAGGTGCTAGTATTTTTTTCAGTAATATTATTTAAATAGGATCATATATTTTGTGACCTTTGCATTTAATTTTTTATGCACAGCATAATTTCCAAGAGTCACTTGATGATTCTTACAAGTTTATTCCTTGTTTCTGAATAGCATTTTATGATTATGTTACACAGATTATTAACCATTCACCTGATAAAGGCTTATTCCTGTGTACAGCCTTTGTAAATAAAGATGCTGTGCATATTATTTTTATGTGAACATAAATTAATCATTTCTCTGGATAAGTGCATAAGAGGACAAGGCTCCTTTCTTGGCTTATGGATGTCTAATTGCTCCAGCATCATTTGTAGAAAAAGTTGAGTTTTTCTCCACTGAACTGTTACTGTACCATTGTAAGAATTCTGTTGCGCATATCTCCATGTGCTGTTTGAATGGTATAGTGGTCCCTCTACCAATACCATACTGTTTTGATAGTTATTAGAGAGTGAGCTTTTATATACCATAGTATCAGCTAGAGAAGTCCTTTCTTCATTTTTATTAACAAGATTGTGTATCTCTTCTAGGATACATGGCTTTCCTTATAAATGTTTAGTATTAGCTTATGTTTTCTTATATATTTATTAAATTTATTGAGATAACATTGGTTTACAAAAGTGTAAATGTTTATGTTTGGGGGTTAAAATATTGCTACACCAGCCTACTACCAAAACTTACTATAAAACCTTCCTAAAAACTTTTATTATTACTTCATTGTACTATTATTTCCTAAAATACATACTACAGCATAAAATTATATTAATTTTAAGAATTTTTATATGAGTTATGGGTTTTACTTCAAAGTAATTTCATGGGTAAGAGTAGACATAAAAGATTAGAGAAAAATAAAACATGATTGGCCATGATCATTTTTAAAGATGGTGATGATACCTAGGATATCATACCATCTTTTTTTCTTTCATGTATTTAACGTTTTTATATAAAGGTCTTTAATTCCACATATTAAAAGATATGTTGTCTTTTTTAAACCTAAATAACTGAAATTTAACTCATCTTTTCTTGTATCAGGTTCTGAGTTTAATATTATATGTTTGAGTCATTATTATGAAACAGTTTGGAAGGTTTCACATCATCAGTTTCTAGAAAAGAAAGCAGTGTTTAGCCAAATTCTACATGTTCATACAAGGTGAATATAACAGATATTTTAATCGTTTAACGTTTTAGGCACTGCTGAGAAAGATCTAGAGAGTACTAAACTTGTACATATTTTACATAAACTGCTAGCAGATGGTGAAAGTGCTCCTGAAATCAAATATAATTCCATGGTCCTAATCTGTGCTCTCCTGGGATCTGGTAAGTATTTCTACTATCATTCGATGTTCTTCAAAATTTGGTCAACACTAGATGCTGGATATAAAATAATAGTAGTGATTTTAAAGTTTTAAAGTATTAAAAATTAGTTTATGGAGGATATAATACTACCTTTACGTTGAAAATGTTCCTAAAGTATCTTTGTTTTGTTTGTATTTTGTTTTTGGACCACACCCAGTGATGCTCAGGGGTTACTCCTGGGTCTGCACTGAGGAATTGCTCCTGGCCATGCTTGGGAAGGCTCCCTTCCCAAAGTATAATAAAAAGCATAACTGCAGCAAGATCTGTTAAAAATTTGATTTTTCATTAACCCTATACAACATTTTATATTTTAAAAAGGTCTAGTAACATATAATAGCAGAATTTGTCCAATAAACCACTGTCTTATTTTTTGTGTATATTCCATGAATACTTGTTAAGAGAGTGGCTTATATATATATTATATATATATATATATATTTTTTTTTTTTACAAAGCTGTGCATGGTTGAATTTTAGTTGTACTGTATTCTAACACCCATCCTTCCACCAGTGTGCATTTCCCAGCACCAGTATCCCCACTTTCCCTCCAGTCACTCTCAAACCCCTGCCTGCCTCTATGGCAAGTGCTTTTCTTCAAGAGAGTGGTTTTAAAACCTCCAGCTGTACTTGTGAGATTGTCTGTTTCTTATGTCAGTTCTGCAAATTATTGTTCCACATACTTGCTGCTTTGTTGGTAGGTACATCCACCTTCAGAATTGCTGTCTTCCTAGGATATTGACCTTCTAACCTCTTTGTCTCTGGTAATGTTCTTTTCTCTGAGATCCTCATTATTTTTTTTTTTAGTATTTCTACATTCTTTATTTTTCTTTTCTTTTTTTTTTTATTAGTGAAACACCATGAGGTACAGTTGTAGACTTACAAGTTGTTGTGCTTGGATTTCAGTTATACAATAATTGAGTACCCATCCCACCACCAGTGCCCATTCTCCATCCCCACCAGTCCCAGTATCCCTCCCACCCCTCATGCCCCATCCCACCCTGCCTCTGTGGCAGGGCACTCCCTTTTGTTCTTTCTCTCCTTTTGGGTGCTGTGGTCTGCAGAAGAGACATTGGGTGGCAATCATGTTCTGTCTATAGACTACATTCAGCATGCATCTCCCATCCTGGGCGGATCTTCCCAGCATCCTTTATTTGGTGCTCCCTTTTCTATCTGAGCTGTCTTTGCCCCTACAGTGTGTGGCTGGCTTCTAAGCCATCCAGTGAACAACCTGCTATTTATCACAGCTGCTCTTGTGTCTCTTACTTTGTTTTAGTCTCTTACTTTGTTACTTTATGTTACCCAGATGAATGCAATCTTTCTATGTCTGTCCCTCTCTTTCTGACTCATTTTGCTTAGCATGATATTTTCCATGTATGTAAATTTCTTGTATGTAAATTACTTGTATGTAAATTGTATGACTTCATTTTTTCTAACTGCTACATAGTACACCATTGTGTAGATGTACCAAAGTTTCTTTAACCAGTCATCTGTTCTCGGGCACTCAGGTTTTTTCCATATTCTAGCTATTGTAAACAGTTCTGCAATGAACAAACAAGTGCAGATGTCACTTCGACTATACTTTTTTGCCTCTCCAGGGTATATTCCCAGGGGTGGTATTGCTGGGTCAAATGGGAGCTCAGTTTCTAATTTTTTGAGAATCGTCCATACTATTTTCCAAAAGGGTTGAACCAGTCGGCATTCCCACCAGCAGTGAAGGAGTGTACCTTTCTCACCACATCCATGCCAACACAGGTTGCTTTTGTTCTTTTGAATGTGGGCCAGTCTTTGTGGTGTGAAATGATATCTCATTGTTGTTTTGATCTGCATCTCCCTGATGATTAATGATGTAGAGCATTTTCTCATGTGCCTTTTAGCCATTCGGATTTCTTCTTTGAGAAAGTCTCTGTTCATTTCGTTGCCCCACTTTTTGATGGGGTTGGATGTTTTCTTCTTGTGGAGTTCAACCAGTACTTTGTATATCCTTGATATCAACCCCTTGTCAGATGTGTATTTGGAAAATATCCTTTCCCATTCTGTAGACTGTCTTTGTATTTTGGTCACTGTTTCTTTTGAGGTGCAGAAGCTTCTTAGTTTAAGATAGTCCCATTTGTCTATGAGATCCTCATTATTAATGCTCTCGCTTTCTTTTGAATAACATTCTCTCATGATCTCTATCTACTCTTAGTTAGATTACTGTATTGTAATATTTAACATACAGCATTTTGGGGTGTACTAGGAATATTACATTTAATATAATAATTGATATGTTCTTACATCTGAAAGTTTTTATTTGTTTTGTTTTACTTATAAATGCCCTTTTCTTCTCTTCTGTCAATAAGTGAAATGATTTTTCAGTCCCATATTCTCCTCCTTTTGGGGAAGGGTGAGAGAGCACACCCAGCAGTGTTCAGGGCTTACTCCTGGCTTCACACACAGGACAACTGCTGGTGGCACAAGGGGACCATATTAGGTGTCAGAGATTGAACCCAGGTGAGCCCAGTGTAAGACAAGAGCCCTACTCGCTGTACTACTGTTCTACGCACTTCCTTTTTTTAAATATAGATTGGTCCCTAGTATCTTACCCCTTTTGGTGCCAAAATGCAGTTACATAAGTCCTGCATATAAAATAAAATAATATTATTACATAATTTATATCTGTTCTTCTGTGTCACATAAATCATCTTTAAATAACTTTAGTCCCTAAAAGGTAAAAAGGTAAAGGCCCTCCCGTTGTTCATCGATTTGCTCGAGCGGGCCCAGTAACATCTCCATTTGAGATTTTGTTGTTACTGTGTTTGGCATATCGAATACGTCACGGGTGGCTTGCCAGGCTCTGCCGTGTGGGCGAGATACTCTCGGTAGCTTGCCGGGCTCTCCGAGAGAGGCGGAGGAATCGAACTCAGGTCGGCCATGTTGGCTGCGTGCAAGGCAAACGCCCTACCGCTGTGCTATAGCTCCAGCCCAACTTTAGTCCCTAATCAGTGTTAATACTATGCAAATAGATAGTATAGAATATTGTTCAGGTAATAACAGTGCTGTCTATGTGAAGTACATACAGAACCATTATTCCTCTGATGAATATATTGCAGTTTTTAGATTCATGGTTGGTAGAACCATTGGATAAGGGCCCTTTGTAGTTGTCTCTAACATTGCCCCTATATTCATTTAGAAACACATTTGACAGTGTTTTTTGTTTCAGTCATCAAATATCAAAAAACTAATGACTGAAGGTCTTTATCTCCATCTTTACTTTGTTTTTCCTAATGTTTTGAGATTCTTTCCTAATTTTCTGAGATTTCTTTCTGTTGGACATCTTCCTTTAATCATTTTTTTAGGTTCAGTCTGTTAGAGACAAAGGTTCTTAGTTTTCCTTTGCTTAATAATGTCTTCCTAATAATCTGGGTAATAGGTTTCTGAACTGACAGTTTTTTGTCCCTAGAAAAACATTATGCCACTTTCTTCTGGCCTCCGTTTTTTTCTTAATGTGAATAATTCTGTGCTAATGTATTTTTGAATTTATATGAACTGGATAAATCTTATAAACATTAAGTATAATAAGAAAGAAGAGAGTTCAGGAGGATATAAGTAGAGAATCTGAAAAATCCTATAGAAGTAAAATTTTACCCTAAAAAAAAGTCAATATTGACTTTTTGTTATAAATACCATATTATAGGTACTGCTTAAGTGTCTGCATTAATACATATCACTGTCCTCCCACTGTTCATCAATTTGCTGTAGCAGGCCCAGAAGCGTCTCCATTGTAAGACTTGTTGTTACTGTTTTGGCATATCAAATACGTCACGGGTAACTTGCCAGGCTTTGCCATGTGGGTGGGATACTCTCAGTAGCTTGCCGGGCTCTCTGAGAGGGGCAGAGGAATCAAACTTGGGTCGGCCGCATGTACAGCAAACGCCCTACCTGCTGTGCTATCGCTCCAGCCCATACATAAAGTATTAATACATTAAACATAAAGTATTGTAATAAAAATCACTATGATATAAAAACATTACCTGATTATCTATATAACAGTTAATATAAATGAAATGTTAACTCATTATTGAAAATGTATAAATGTATACCTTAGCAAGATAGGAGTAAACAAGTCTTTCTTAATTCACTAGAGGGCAATCATAAGAACCTTGAGTTAATACCATACTCGGTACCAAATGCTAAAGAGTTGGTTTTAACTTTTAAAGAAGCTCCTTTAATACTTCTTGCAAGACTGATTTTAAGACTATGAATTCGCTTTAAGTTTTGCCTAGCCCTGAAGCTATGCTTTATTCCTTCCAATATGAATGATTAGCGGGATAGAATATTCTTGGTGACACCTTCATTTCATTGAGTTTTATACTATATCCTTCTATTTTCTTCTGGCTCAGAGGCTCATTTCATATATCTGCTGTGAATCTTAATTTCTTTCCTTTGTATGTAAGGTTTTTTTTTATGTTTTGTTTTGCTACGTTCAGTGTTCTCTATTTTTGGATTTTGTTATTCAAAGCACAGTATTTCTTAGAGTTTTACTATTTGAGTCCATTTTTGCTTCGATGCTTTGGACATCTTGGATCTCAGTCCCTGTATTTCTTAACTCTGGAAAATTCTTATCAGTAATTTGTTTAACAATTGTTTGTTCATTGAATTTGCCCTCCCGTTTTTCATGGACTCCTGTAATTGTTATATTGTTATATTGTTATAATTCATCCCATAGTTCTCTCGCCGGGTGTTCATTTGTTTTCAGATTTTTTCTATCTTCTGTTGTTTTCTAGAAGTTTTCTCTATCTCATCTTGGAGCACTTTTATCTCTTACTCAGTTCCTGTTCAGAACTTCTATATATCCTTTCTACTCTTCATTCATGCTTGTAGTTTTCTCATTTCAGCTCCCATGCTTTCTTGTACTTTACTGACTACATATGTCATTGTTTCTTTGAGCTCATTAAACATCCTCATTATGGGATCACTAAAGTT